AAAGGAAAAAATTCTGTGTGTGGGTAAATGTGATCATTGCAGCAAAAGATCAGTTCCTTAGCCACAGGTTTTCAAGCATTGATGAATATGTATACATGTCTGGTGGCTGTTTTTTCCCAAGTCCTATAGTTTGCAGGGAGCAGCAATGCTTTCTGAGAGAAATATCATTACAAGAAAAGAGATGTAATACAATACGGAAACTGAAACTGTACGAATTGAAACTCTGCATAAAAGCTGAGGAAGCAATTGCAGTCATTTCAAACCTTTAGGACTACTGGCTCTGCATTTTGATAATTAGAAAAAAGAAATTCCTCTCTGAGTACAGACTGTTCAGCTGGGGTGTTTTTCCCCTGAATATTAAAAACAGATATCTAAACAGCTCTACTTATCTTCTAAACTTCTTTGTTGTTCTAATTACATTTTTAACATTTGGAATGGATTTCATCTTTGGACAAGCAACAGAGGTCTTTTCAACTTTCTCTTGGCATCTCAGTGAAATGACCCTTAGTGTTTCCCAGCAGATGGGCCTATTTCAAAATAGCAACAAAAATCTGTAGAGTTCTTTCCACTACTGCACGGTACTCTCCTTAGGAAAAGAGCACCAGCAGCCAGATGTCTTGTTTCTCTGTCCTACCCATGGATGGAACACCTTTTCCACCCCCACCCACATGCCAAACTATTATTTGGCACTGTTGGTTGCTCCTGCTTATCTGTACTACTGTGAGCACCTGCTATTGATGCGGCTCTCCTTGTCCACATCTCTCATGCACCCGCCCCTAGGAATCAGCTCCAGGTCCTTTTCATTCTGCTGAAAAGTAAACAGGTCAGTGTGCCCCAGCTAAGTTATGACAGCATGTGCGTGATTTCCTCGTGTTTGTGTTTAGAGAAGAAAAGCTCACGCATTGGTAAGTGTCTGGATCTGGCACTAACTGAATGGAGCCTGGTGCCTGGGGACATGAATCATAAATCACTCATTGTGTCATAACATTCTTGATTAATACCTTTCGTCAACAAAAGAAGGAAGATATCTGGGAGCCTGGTGTGTTTTAATCTAAGGTGTGACTTATGACTTACACAAAAGACTTTGGATATGTTTGGGTTTATTGGTTTATGAGATGTATATGATAATATGGCTAACTAGCTTTAAGTGCATGATTTAAAAACCAAACTTTGCCTTGATGTGCTGTTGTAAAGGTAAGTTCTTGTTGAGAAAATAAAATTATGCTATTTTCCATGTATTTATTCTGAAACAAGTAGCATTGCTGAGCAATTGTGGATCTGTTTATCTACTCCTATTCCTTGGTTTTGGTTTGGGGAATGCAGTTCCATGCACTCACAAGTAGGAACTCAGTCTTTTCTGAGACCAGGGCAAGGCTTCCCATATGGATGTGTGCTCACATCCCTACAAGGAGGACAAGCTACTTCCCTACTTCGTTTGGGTAAAGCTCTCATCGCCTTCTGTTAAATAAAATAATGCCCCACATCTCAAGCTTCTAAACTAATGGAAGACTACTTCAGCTGTACAGCACATCGAGTGTAGGACATACCCTCCCGAGAGAATATGATTGCTTTTCACTGAAGGCTGTTTAAACACCGCCAATTCCTAGGTTATGTGGGAAAGTTTTCTTAATCCTGGCAATATTTACACATAGAGATAGAAGCTGCCACAAATCAGTCAAGGGAATCTTGGTATTAGTTATATTACATACCACTTTGCAAAGTGTTAGCTCATTTGGTTCAGCTATATTTTAATAGACGAATGCTGTGTCTGTGGGGGGTTTTTTCCTTAGAAACTGGTTTAAAAATACATAATTGATAAAAGGCAGTAATTTCTAATTACAGCTCTGCCCTTAGCATTCAATTCTGACTTATGTCATGCATTTTTCATAAATTCAAATAATGTACTTACATATTTACGAACACTCAGAACCCAGAGGATATTTTCTTTTTTGGAAACATAAAAGAAAATTCAATCAGTAATTTTACTGAGCCATCCAACCTCTGAAAAGCTTCCCCTAGATTACATTAACACTGCACCCCGCTCCAATTTCCATTTTGTGACAAAATGTTCTAGCAGAATCCAGACTCACTCTTGGCTGAGAACTGAGAGAATACTTCAAGCTGGGAGGAAAAGGCAAGTGTGCCCTTATTACCTGAGACTGGGCTTGCAGGGACAGTTTCAGCTCTTCATTGTCCGTGGCTTTCATGCTGGTTTGGCCACATGATACTTTGTGAAGCTCTTCCCAGCATTCTTTGGGCCTGTCCTTGCAAATCAGTGCCAGGAGTCTTGAACTTTTTGTCCCGCTCATGGCACATTCATAAAAAGTCCCATTGAGCAAAGCCACAGACAGCCACATCACTGGAGCCACCAGGGAACTCAGAGTGATCTGCCCCAGGACGTAGAAGAAGCGGCAGCTGTGCCCTCTGGGGAAGATCTTCCTGGGATTCACGCAGCAGCCTGTGAAAAGTCTCCAGGACCTATTGTTCAGGAAGAATCCCAGGATGAGCAGAACCCAGGCAGGAGCAAAAAGGAAAACCAGCCCGTAGACCACGTTCTCCGTGCTGCAGGGGCACTTGAACGCCACGAGTGAAAAGAGACGCTCACTCCCCAGGGTCAGCAGAGCCATGAAGCTGTAGCCAATAACAGTTTTCTGGTTCAGGACGAATTTTAAAATCCCATTGAAAGCATCCATTTTGGAGATAAACAAAGAGGAGAAATGCTTTGCCCTTATTTATTGGCAAGCCTCTGAGGCTGTGGCTGAGGGTGGAGCTCTCCCTCCATCTGGAACAACAGTCCTCCTTTTCAGACTGAATTCAGCCAGATAAGGAAACAAGGTCATTCCTGAGGAATGAATATTTCCCAATAGTGTTTGGACAATACCTCCTACTGCTGTGAGCTGGGCTATGAAACTAGGGCCTAGGCTCTGAGAATTAATTTCAAAGGTCAAAACTTCCATTTTTATGTTATTTGTATGCATTAAGAATCTGAAAGAAATTCTCACTCATACAAATAAAGGTCTCGGAATTTTCCAGCCAGAGAAATCGACATTACCATAAATGGGTTTCAGCCAGTTGGTTGGGAGCCAAATCATTCTCCAACTCTGGAGTTCCCTGCTTTTTTTTTCCTCTTGCTACTTGACTTAGGAGCTGGAAGATTCACTTTATATCCTCTAAAGCTGGCTAGTCTCAGAGCCTTGAAACAAATTTCAGGATGTGGGCTAGTAGAAATTTATATGGAAGAGTTTAGGTAGCCCTTGAGCTTGGAATAAAAGAGAAAATGAGGAGACTCCTCATCAATCCTTTCCAAGGTTGTCATAGTAATCTCTTCACTGGTATCTCTGCCTTTGGCATCATGCACAGCCCACCCTTGATCCTAAATCCACCCTCCATGCTGACATGTGAGGAGCTTCCTCTAAACAGAAAATTAATTCCTCCTTGGCTTACTCATGGCTTTGGGCCTCCCTACAGCCCACAAGCTGATCGATGCCAGCCTCCCATGAGTCTTATCATGGCATTTCATGCCCATGACATGTTCCCTCTACCTAGAATATCCCCACTACCCACTGCCCCCCGCAACTTGTTCACTTGACAAAATCTCAGTCAGTATTTGTGAACAGGATAGAAGTTTCTTCCTCTGCGATTATTTCCAGGATTGCTTCATAAGACAGGGTGGGGCCAAGGGAGGTTTACAGTTATTCATATGGAAAATAATACAATAATTAATTAATAATAATACAAGAATAAACCCTGAGTTTCACGTACTCACATCTGTAAATGGACTTTTGCCTCACCCTATATATAACAGTGTGGTGCAGGACTCACTATACCTTCACAGTTATTTGTTTAACATCTATAGTCCCCTTTAACTATAAGCTCTTATAAAACAGGGCTGCATTTTATTAAGTTGTATTCTGGGTCTCAACATGGTGTCAAATACAGACTGGACGCTCATTCTAAAATTTTTCAAATAGTTATTGAACTCACACCACGTGCCTGGCACTGTACTAAACAGGCAGTGCTCACTGAGTATTTATTGAATGGATGAGTGAATGACTGAATGAAGAACCTTTAATTAGAAGTACCTCTAGTTAGAAATAATTAAGGAAATTATTTCTATTTCTGTCCTACAGTGGTGTCACTTTTAAAATTAAATTAATTAAGGCACTTGAAAGACAATAACATATCAAGCTGACACATTCCCATTAAGAAACCTCCCATTCCAGGCCTGTGTGTGCTGTAAACAGAAAGGGCCTTGGACCAGGAGGCAAGGAACTAAGGTGTAGTACAGCCTTGACCATGTCATTTCTCAGAATCCCAGTCTACTCATTTGTGAAAATGGAAGTGAAACAGAAATGATCTTCGAGGTTTCCCTCATTTCTATACTGTAAACATTTTTAAGCCCTGTAAAACAGGAAACTTTCTTGAGAAGTTACTTTATGCTTCATTTATGTGCCTCTCACCACTACTCTTTGCTTCCTGTCATAGACTTGCCATCCTTAGTGACGACTCCCTCCAATTCCCAAAACATAATTTGAGTCTAAGTTTCCTGTAGCGTCATTTGCTCTATCATTGATAATATGGCAGATGTGTCCCTTCTAATTCAAGACCTTGTCTTTTACTAGGCTCATTGTGACTGATATTGTATTGTACTAATTTATCCTAGTATGTTGATGATTAGTCATATTTTAATCTCCTACCTTCCTAAAGGACATTGATTTTGGAAAAAATTTTCTGGAAATAATGCTTAACTCTTCCTTAAAGCCATGTTTTTTCCTCAGAAATATAGTCCCTTAAGATGTCCCAGAAAAAGAGAAGGATTTGAGACTTGCCCTAGTCGTAGGGTCAGTAGGCTTCACAGCTAAGTGTGAGCCCGGACTTCCTGATGCAAACTCCACGTGCTTCACCACACACAGCACTGCCTGCAACAGGGTATTTGGGTGCCCTAATCATAGGCATCTGTTCTAAACCAAGTTTTTGTAACTTCTTTTCTCTCTTGTTAGGTTGCTTTCAAGATGTATTTGGGAATTACACCAAGTGTGGCCTGTCACAATTCAAGCAGAAGTGAATTTTCCCTGATTCTAGACAAGAATCCTCTGGTGGAGTTTGTGGAAGAGCTCCCCGCCGGGCGGTCATCTCTGTGCTACTGCAATTTACTCTGTGGGATTATCAGAGGAGCCCTGGAAATGGTAAAGCTCCTGCTTCATTTTGCTGGGTACATTTGTTATCTAGCACTGGGTAACAAATTACCCCAGGGTACAGCTGCTTAAAGCAACCAGTGTTTATTATCTTACATGGCTTCTAAGGATCAGAAATGTGGGAACAGCTCCACAGGGTGGCTGTGGCTCAGAGATTTTCACAGATTTTCACAGCTTAATACACATACACTCAAGCTGCTGGTCAGGCCTACAGTCTCTGAAGGTTTGACTGAGGCTAGAGAATCTCTTGCTACTTTTCAAGCTCGCTCACGTGGCCCCAGTGCCTTGCTGGGAGTTGTATAGAGGCTTCATGAAGTTCTTCTGGCCAAAGAGGCCTCTCTTTGCGTCTAATCACAACAGGTGCTGCCAACCCTGGCACAGAGTGGGAAGGGACACAGGAGGCCATGAAGAACAGGAGGCAGGGGTCATTGCAGGGCATTTTGGAGGCTGGCTTCCACATCAAATTATTCATTGACTTAACTACAATAAATATTAGCACCTGCTAAGAGTCAGGCACTGAACTTACAAAGATGAACAAGAGACAGTTGGTGCCTTTCAAGAATCTTCTGTCATGTAGAGAAATCAAATGTATAAAGAAATTTGACTTAGGGCTGCAGAAAGATGTGGGTTAGGGGGGTTGGAAGGTCAGGAAAGACTTCCTAGAGAAACCCTGATCTGGCATTTGAAAGATAAATAGGAATTAGGTGAGGTGAAGGCCGTAGGGTAAGGGAGGCAGTGGGAATAATATTCCAGAAAAGAAGCAGCATGTCCAAAGGCACAAAAAAAAGTTTCATTCAACAAACAAGGAACTTGAATTGGTTTAGTAAGATTGACATGTAGATTGAAAGAGGAATTGTCATGAGAAAGGAGATATAAATTATTTACAGAGGTCTGAGACAAAAAGAGATTCACATGACAAGTTGGGAATTTGATTTTGGTAGTGAAAACAGCAGAAACCCATTTTAGTTTATAAACAGGTAGATGATATTTTGAAATTTGTGTTTTATTTTATTTTTAAGCATATTTTATTGACTATGCCATTACAGTTGTCCTATTTTTTCTCCTCTTTGTCACCCTCTGCCCTGTACCCCTACTCCCTCCAGCATTCCCGTCTCCTTAGTCCATGTCCATAGGTTTAAGTTCTTTGGCTTCTCCATTTCCTGTACTACTCCTAACCTCCCCCTGTCTATTTTGTACCTACCAATTATGCTTCTTATTCCCTGTACCTTTTCTGCCATTCTCCCTTTCTGCTGATAACCTTCCATGCGATCTCCATTTCTGTGATTCTGTTCGTGTTCTAGTTGCTTGCTTAGTTTGCTTTTGTTTTTTAGGTTCAGTTGTTGATAGTTGTGAGTTTTTTGTCATTTTTACTGTTCATAGTTTTGATCTTCTTTTTCTTAGATAAGTCCCTTTAACACTTCATATAATAAGGGCTTGGTGATGATGAACTCCTTTAACTTTACCTTATTTAGGAAACACTTTTTCTGCTCTTCCATTCTTTTAGATAGTTTTTTGGATAGAGTAATCTTGGATATGGGTCCTTGCTTTTCATCACTTTGAATACATTTTGCCAGTCCCTTCTTGCCTGTAAGGTTTCTTTTGAGAAATCAACTGACGATCTTATGGGAACTGCTTTGTAGGTAACTGTCTCCTTTTGCTGCTTTTAAGATTCTCTCCTTATCTTTAATCTTGGGTAATTTAATTATGATGTGTCTTGGTGTGTTCCTCCTTCATCCAGTGTCTTTGGGACTCTCTGAGCTTCCAGGATTTGCATGTCTATTTCCTTCATCAAATTATGAAAGTTTTCCTTCATTATTTGTTCAAATAAGTTTTGAGTTTCTTGCTCTCCTCTTCTCTTTCTGGCACCCCTATGATTCAGAGGTTGGAACATTTTGTCCCAGAGGGCCCTAAGCCTCTCCTCGTCTTTTTGAATTCTTGTTTCTTCATTCTGTTCTGGTTGAAAGTTTATTTCTTCCTTCTCTACAAAATCATTGATTGAGTCCAGGTTTCCTTCCCTTCGCTGTCAGTTCCCTGTATAATTTTTTTATTTCATTTTGCATAGACTTCACTTTCTCCTCTATTTTACAACCATACTCAACCATTTCTGTGAGCATCCTGATTACCAGGGTTTTGAACTCTGCTTCTGATAGGTTGCCTATCTTTTCATTCCTTAGTTCTACTTTTGGCGTTTTCATCTGTTTTTTTCACATTTGGGCTGTATTTCTTTGTCTTGGAGCGCTTATTAATTTGTAAGGGGCAGAGCCTCAGGTATTTGCCAGGTTGGAGCAACCCACTCTACTGTATTGTAGTGCTACATTGGGGGAGGGGCCAGAGAGGAAACAATGCCACTTGCTCAGTTCTCACCCCACTTTCACACACTTCCCCCCACTACCCCCACAAGTGTATTGCGGCTTTCTGGTGCTGACTCCTGGGTGGATGGGTTTCTGTACATTCTAGGACACTGTGGTTCCCTCCAATGAACTCTCCTGTGAGACTGGGAGCTTCTCCCACTGCCGCAACCCTCACAGGTTTTTATAGCCAGCACTTTTGAGGCTTTATTTCCCTGCACTTCAACCCTGGCTTGCACAGTCTGTCTTGCTCCCCACTTGTTCCTCTTGGGTTATCTACATCTCAATGTGGGACCACCTGGTCTGCCAGCCATTGACCCACCATTCTGGTCCTCTAGCCACCACCTTGCCTCTACTCCTCTCTGCCTGGCTGCCTGTCTCCACCCCCTCTGTCTGGATGAATGTTTCTTCTTTAACTCCTTGGTTGTTTGACTTTAATACAGCTTGATTTTCTGGCAGTTCTGGTGTCTTTTTTGTTTTAAATTGGTTGTTGTCCCTCATTGGTTGTGCAAGGAAGCAAAGCTCATCTACCCAGAACACCATCTTGGCCAGAAGTTGAAATTTGTGTTTTAAAAATCTCATTTCTTTGTCAAAAAAGTTAACATATGCAGGAAAGGACAATGCTGGAGGGTGGGAGAGAGCAGTTGGGAAGCTGATCATGGTATCTCTTAGATAAACCAGATAAATCTCTGACAGTAGGAGTGGAGAGAAGACTGATTTCAACAACATTAGGAAGGTAGAACAGATTTTAGCTGACTAATGGGACAGGTTGAGGAAAAGACCCAGGAATTATTTTTAGGTTTCTGATAAACTTATAGGGAGAGTGGTACTCTTAAACAAGAAAGCAAAACCAGGTGGTGTACATCTGTCAAAATGAGGAGTTTAATTAGGCATCTACTAGGACTCCTGTGTGTATATACACTTGTGATGACATGCTAAGCAGTTGTTACCCATATCTGGGAGTCATAGAGAGATGTGGACTGGAGTCACTGGAACTCTCAGAAGCACCTAAAGATAGGGTAGAGTTAAAAAAAAAAAAAAGGAGAGTCACAGATGGAACCCTAGGAAACAACAAGACAAAACAAAATTAGAGAGAGAGTACAAAGGCTATATAAAGGACACCAAGAAGTAGCAACCAGACCTAGGGAAAATACCGGGAGAAAACGGAGTCATAGGCACAAGGACAGAGGGTTTTTCAACAAAAGAGAGTGATTACCAAGACCAAGTATAGCAGAGGCTAAGTAAAACAAGATTGAAGAATATTCACAATGTTTAGAGACCAAAAAGTCAGAAATGACCTTGGTAAAAGCTGTTTTGGATAGTGAGGGGAGAAGAAGACAACCTGTCAAAGGCTGATTGTCCAACGGCAGCTTAGGCAGAGTTAGTAACCAAGAGTCTCATTTTTCCAGGAGTATAGCTATTTAGAATAGTGAGACCAGATAATAGCCCAGGCTAGAAATGTGTTGGCCTACCAATAATGAACCATGCATATAATTTCAATTATTTGTGATAACTAGGGGAAGGATGTAATAACAGGTATTCCAAAAGAGTAAAGCAATAGAGATCATGTATTAGTAACACAGATCTCCCACACTTCTACCCTACCATTTTTTAAAGCTTGCCCTAAAATCAAGGGCCATGAAATCAAGAAAGGGGAAGGGAAGAGTTCTCGGAGTTTATGGGTTGAACCAAAAAAAGCCAGAAAACAAAAACTAAGTTAAAAGTAAGATAAAGAAGTCTCCACCTTTCATGGAGAATCATTGACTACATATGTTGAATGCCACATAGGCATCGGACCACAGGTGGCCCCGAATATCCGAAAAGCTGCAATGTAGTCTCCTTGTTATTTTAATTAATTTTCTGTTAAATTTTGACAAAGACAAAAAAGATCTTATGTGGGAAAAACAAGGATGAATTTATCTTCTATATTTTAAAGTGCCATCTCTGTGCTTCTACTGGGTGACAGACATCACAAAAGCATGGTTTTTGCACCCTGTATGAGCAAAGTAACTTGGCATACCAAGGACTGTGATTTAACACATCCAGGCTGCTTGGCCAAGGAATTCTTAGTGAGACAGGGGAATGAGTCAGGTAAGATTATAATTAATTAATTATATTGATTAATTGCTTACTATGCCCAGGCTTTTCCACTTACCTAGTATTTGCTTTAATTGGGTACTTTCACTTATTCATTTTTCTTCACCCCAATCACTTAAAATAGCTGAGCAGTATTCTGTTGAAGGTAGGTCAGCAATACCATGCTGCTCTTATGTGAATATATTTTGGTGAACAGAGAAGTTAGGTCTTTGGGCTTACTTTAAATGTCTGGGAAATGGGCTACGCTTTACAGAGGAAAAGAGAGCCTCAATATCAAATATTCATGTCTGTAATTTCAATATTTAATTTTATATTCATAATTTATTTAGTCTACATTTCTTCAAGTCTCTCAAAACCATAAGTGATTGCTAAATATTGTTAGGACAAGGGATTATGCTATTTAACTCAGACAGAGTGATTAATGGGGGTTGGAGAGGATTCCTTTATCCTTGGAAGTTCTGCTTCTGAGGCACATTGGTTCAAGGCTGTCTTTGCTCTGGGAATCTGTGGCCTTCGTGAGACGGATTCACAATTCGACCCTGTGAGCAAAACTTGGCACAGGCCCACATCTCTGGGCTTGCCCCAGAGTCCTCCAAGTTGGGCCTGGCCTGGGCTGCTCATCTCATTGCAGACGCACACCACAGAGCTCACACACAGCCAGACCATCTCCAAAGGACGCAGGGCAAAGGGCCCTTCATCCACAAAGCAAGCTCTTTCTTATCATCCATGAGGAAAGTCAGCCCCTGATGGGGTAAATAACTCTGAAAAAAGAGACAGAAAAATGTAGTGAGTTTTTTTTTTTTCTTTTAACCTAAATGATGCAAACTTTTTTTTTTCTTTCCTAGGTTCATTTGGCTGCTGATGTTACATTCTTGCAAGACACTCTAAAAGGCGACAATGTGACAGAAATAGGAATAACATTCTTGAAAAAGCTAGATGAGAAAAAATACAGACGGAAAAAATGAAAAATAGCATGCAAAATGACACAAGCTGACCAGCTGAGAAGTTAGTGCTACCTAATATATACAACCATTGGAATTTTGAGTTGCTTAATAGCATGGGCTTTAAGAGGATTGTAAATCAGCCAGAAATTTGAAATGCTGGGCATTAGGATATAAGGCTGTTTTTTTCCTTTTTGCTTTTAAATCACACATCTCCAATCTCATGTCAAGATTTCATATACAAATAACTCCTTATAAGATAGAAAGCATGAATTGCACAAAATTGCATAGTCCAGCATAACAGATTTATTCATTTCATTTATTTATGGTAACAGAAAAGAATGCTCTGTCACCTATATAACTGGTATAGTTATTTCTTCTGATATGAAAAAATGGATGAAATGATACTATAGAGTCCACTCTATATGGTTTCTAGGCTCTGTACATTGCATTGTCTGTAGAAACAGTTCCATTTGTAGCAATCTTTCATATTTATGAAAAACTGTGCATGGGGTTTTTCTCCTATATTGGCTTGGCTTATAACTTCAGCTTCCTGAAGCTACTCTTGATTTGTAATCAACAACGCCAAACTTTTCATTTGAATGCTAATTCTGAAACATTAAAAAATAACATTTAATTTTAATTCATTTAACTTATTTAATTTTTAGATAGCTGGAATTAACCAAATTCTTTTCTTTTCTCGTGAAATATTACTGATGGTAAGGCCAGAAAATCACTAAAATAAGAAGTAAATAATGTTCTTTGAGAATATTTTCTTACCTCAAAGCTTATTCAGTTAAAATTTTTACTATTATTTTTATCCCCTAAAAATCTGGATAAGTATATTTTGTCTGTGACCAGAACATATTTAAAATTCAAAATGTACTGGATTAGATAAACAATAATCTTCACCAAACCATCAGCATACAAGGACAACCTATATGGCAGTCCAGAATCTGCTGGGTTCTGCAGAGAAATCAAACTAAAAATAAAAGTTAAAATTAGTGTGGCATCATCAGTTAAAACTACTATAAATGCTATGGTAGTGACAGACCTCAACTAGGACTCATGAGCCTGAAGATGAGGTCTCGTTCTGTTTCTAGTGGCTTCAGCTAATGCTGACTAGTATCTGGTCTTGGGTAAGGTGTATAATCTTTCTCTCTCTCTCCACCTCTTTCTCGCTCTGTAAAATGATAGGATAGTACATGATAAATATCTAAACTTATGTCAATAAACAAATGACATCAATAACCATTGAAATTCCACCTTTTTGGATTTAGAAGATTATGGGGAAATTGTCCCCACCTACCCAGCCCCTTCAGAAGGTCGTGGAGGTGGGCATTCAGGAGCAAACAGGGTCTCAGCAGCAGCAGTGACATCAATGGAATGATCTTCAAACCGGCTCCACAGAAGACCAGGAATAGAACCTGGAAACTTGATCAATGCACAGATTTTGATTATCTTGGAAAAGCCAAAGGAAAAGAAAGGTTTGAGACAGAGTGTTTAGTGATTTCAAGTGACATGCCCAGATTGTGGCACATGCTGTTCTCTGAGGAGGCCTGCCTATTACCTCTTTAAAGTTGGCAAGGATCAGGAATACTTCCCTCAGCAGCCTGTACATTTATTTATTGTCTTCTCAAATCTCTCTGGTCCACCTATTAGTTATTAGAAGGCTGGATGTCTTTAGCAGTTGGAATAGACTATTATGAATAACTGCAAAGTTCCCTCTTCTCCCTACTTATGAAGGACCAGGGATCTTCCTGCAACCCCTCTACTTCCTTTTTTGTTCCCTCTTCCATTTCTTGTATTTCAACTGAGCCTCATGTAATGGATATTTTTTGGCTGCCTGTATCATTCTGCCTTCTGATAGAATGACAGTCTTCTGTTCAGGTGCTCACCATTTTATTAAGTACCCCAGCTGTGACGTAAGGGGAAGTCATCGCTGGACCACAGTGGTATTCCCAGCTTAAAACCAACCCCTTGATAGCCACATATAAGGCAGTCAAGCCATGGCATTCCCCAGACCACAGGACAAGGATGACGAGACTGAAGAGAAGAAAGTCCTGCCTGTTACATGAGCCCATAAATTTAATGTAGTCTTTCAGAGTGTAGATTGGGTTTCTGTTACAGTAATGCAACAAAGTTCATTGCATTATAAGTACATGATAGATAATTTGCAACATACTTGATATCATCGAAGGGAATTGTTCGTTATCACATTTTCACGTAGTTGAATGCTGAACAAAATAACATTTGGGTTTACAATAGCTCCCCTCCTCACAGAGATGAAAAGGTTACAGAAGGGAGAAAAGAGGACGCTCAGTTACAGTTTGCAAGTACCCAGCGTACAAGTCCCAGAAAAGAGAGATTCTGTAGAGATAGAGCATTTTATATCAGTACAGTGAGAGCTCTTTACAAACAAACAAAAACCAAACCAAAACAAAAAGAACTTCACACATTTCAGGGCTTGCTTCAACTATTTCCAAGGGAAACTTAAGTTACATCAGGAGTCCCTTGAGGATTCCAAAGTCAGAACAATCCTCTGACTTCTGGAGCCTCCCAGTGGCCTCAATCTTCCAAGTCAGCAGACTGTATGTAATGACTTGCTGTTTCACTGTTGTGTATGAATCACTAGACTTTTATGACTTAAAAGAGGAAATTCTAATTCCCAATGTTCTGTACATGCCAAACTATGCTTCATCAGTCATTGAAAGCCCCTGGAAGTGCTGCTTTCTTGGGTTTGAATTCAATTAAGATATTTGTCAGGTATTAGGCACAGTGACTACGTGGTATGGCACTGAATTTTCCCCACAACCTATAAGGCATTAGGTAACAGAGAATGAAGAGTCAGATGGGAAACTAAAAGGAGCTAAATCTGCCAGTGTTTAAGCCCATCATGATGAGGGGCTGGTGAGCCATGGGAGCTGGCCATGGCTCCAGCCCGGGAGGCTGAGTGACAGCCCACAGGAGGCAGAGCCAGTGCAAGAAAGAAGCTACTAAGTTTAGAATATTTTGAGTCTGAGGTGCCTTTGAAACATCTAAACAGCTCTAGGTGCTGAGAAGAAAGGAAATCAGTATGTGGATAACAGTAAAGGCAGTGGGTATAGACAGCAGCATCTGGGGAGAGCATGGACTTGAGAAAGTATAAGGAGCAAAAACAGAATGTGGAGGGCAAACAAACACCGTTCAAGAGGCAGCAAAGAAAGAAAAGCACAAATAAGGCCAAACTTCCAGTCAGAGAGGTATGTAGGTGAAACTGGTGACACTGAAACCAAGAGCGTTTCAAAGATGGTGGAGTGGTCAGGGATAACAGATGGCCCAGAAACGCCAAGGAAGAGATGTTGAGTTTGGTAAGGAGAAGGTCTTTGCCCCGGAGCTATTTCAGGGTCGGTTGGAGGAAGTGGCCTTGCTGTGGTGGGTTGAAGAGACAAGAGGAGATAAGACACTGTTTCCCTGACAGGCCAGCAATGCATCCCTTGTCCTTTCACTGGCAGACTTGACTATAAATGGAAACAGACGTAAGATACTCAGTACAGAGTTAAACTGTCTACTCCTTTGGTTTTTTAAGAATGCAGGCTTTTGAAAATATGGGAGAGAGGGAATGACTGATGAAGCAAGGTTGTGCAGAGGTGGAAAAGGGTGGGATCCAGATCATAAGAGGAAGACTGGGTTCTGAGCTGCATCAAAACTCCCCCTTCCCCTGAGAAGAGACTGATCAAGGTGAGAGTGGGCATAGACGGGGATGGGACTGAAAGCGTTAGGGAAGACCTTGAAAGACACCATGACTGTTGGCTCAATCTTCCCTGTGAAGCAGGATTCAAGGCCCATGTGGAGATGGAGGTGGGCAGAGGCTGGATGAGATCCTTCTGCTCCAGGCCGCTGCTCATACTCTCTGCCAGCCCACAGAGAAAGAGAAAATGCCCAGCCTTTACATTGAACAATCATACACCTACCCAGGGAGAAATTATAGGTCTCCTTTATTCCCCTGGTGCTCCAACAACCAACATAAGGGGGACAACATTCTGACCGGGTCCACCTTCCCTGAGACCACGTGGATCATAAGCAGGACTTCCTCTGTCTCCAAAGAAGAGGGAGATTGGGTTGCGGGCTGTCTGTGGGAGCTTGCTCTTCCACGCAGGGAGTAGGTCTGTGGCTACAAATTTGCCCCAGATACTCCTGCATGCTGGCACTGCTCCTGGGATGTTAATAGAAATGAACCACTGAGGAAAATCATAGAAAACCACATAACTGGACTACCAAGACCTGCATGGAAGCTTTTTTTCACAAATGGAAAAGAAATGCATCTCTTCCCTTCGGGAAAGCTTTTCCAAGGATTTTCACAGAATCCTGTGAAAAGCTGATGAATGTCACTATTGAAAAAACACCCCAGGAATAGCAGGACAAAAACTGGAGCCAGTATGTCAAAGTGTCCACAGACATAACTTTTATTTTAGTAGAGACATGTAACAACTGAAAGGAGAAAATCCATGACCCTCTGTCAGCAGTCCCTAAAACCTGTAACCTGTATCTTTTGGCTGCCTAGAACATTTCACACAGTCTGGAAGAGATCCACATCTGAACAATTTATCCTTTAGTCCTCTTGAGAGGTGAAAAATTGTCCTTTTAAACTTTTCTGAACACCTTCTGGGTGGAGTCACACATGAGGATGTCAAACCAAAATGAATAGAGAGGGGGATAGGAGTCCCAAAACCAGTGCTTGAGTTTAGACAGCTCAAGGGCAACTCTTTGCCCAACAATAGATTCTCCTCCAGGCCCAACAGTAGACTAACATGATATTTCTATGCATGGACCACCCAGCGGTCTCTTGGCAAAGATTTATACTCTATTAAGTTAAATGTAGTTGAACACAGTTGAGCTAATTCTCAGTGATATGCCTGGTAGCTATGGTTTAGAGGTAGAAATATTTATTGTGAATTTGCCTTGGAGGAAGGAAGATAGACCATGCAGTGGCTCAGAAAGCTGTTTCCAGTTCTGGGGTGATAGACCGTATAGGAAAAGCTATAAAGGTAAAA